CCCCTTTTATCCTATATAAAAGTTGGGAAAAAAGAGGGTATTTGTTTTCCATTTTTGTAAAAATGAGAATAAAAAATATAGTCGTCATGGGTCCCACTCAAAAGATAAAAATTCAAATTTGATCGCTTGATATGATGAATAACGGTCATATTTTTCATTTTAATATGAAAAGAAAGAAAACAAACAGGCTAAAATTGGACCATAAAAATTTATGGGACTAGGTCCACCTTTTAGGTGAGATGAAATAACTGAATAAAAGGAGAGTCAACATCACAATAGTGGTAACAAACACGGCCTCTAATGTTGACAGTGAGGGTACAAACATTAATTAAAGCTAAACCAAACAAGTTTGCTTTGGACGATAAGCCTCTGCCTGAGTTTTTTTCTTTTTTCTTTTTCTTTCAAATTCACTTTCAATTACACGTTCTCTCGATAAATAATTTACAAGTGAATTCAAATTAATTTTTTTAACTTTTTAATTGTAAATTATCTAAAAAATGATTTTTTTTAACAAAATTTATTCGAAAAAACGAGGCTCAAATGTGAGCTAAAACTTTAAATAGATCACGAGATGTCAGAGATACCAAATCCACAAGAGATTGTCTGCATATTTATTAATTTAGAAGAGGTTAGTTCATGAATCTAATATTTCTGGGCAACCATTACATTTATTAGAAACCTACCACAGTTGTATGTGCATCATCCTCCATCAAATCATACAACCAATTAACTAAACATTTAGGTACCTTATGCAACACTTTTGTTGTCTAGTATTTGGTCAACTATGGATTGTTTCTTTCCATGCGCACTTAATTATCTCAAGGACTTTTATCATTTTATTTCGTCATTTCATTCAATAAAATATTCAAAGCAATTAAATTTTTAATAACCATATTAAGAACCTGTCTAGTATGACTTTTACTTTTACTTTTCTTTCTTGTATAAGAGTTTTTTGATGAAATTATCTTAGTTGTTATTTGTATTAACTTTCTCGAAAAGATCATATAATTAAAAAATAAAAAAAGTACTTTTATAAAATTAATCAAACAAACACAAAAACAGTTATTGAATTTCAAAAACTCATTTTGATTTCTCAGAAGTCATACAAAAGTGCCTCTAAATCATTAGGTTTTGTCCTTTTACTCTCGTGAACATGATAATCATTATGTTTATGTAAAACTAAAATATGTTCATATTAGCTAAATGTTCGTTCACTTAACTTATACGTTGTCCCTATTTGGTTGGAATTAAAATTAAAATTAAAATTCTTAGTAGATTTTGATAAAGGTTGATGAAATATATTGATATAAAATTGTAAGTCCCATAAAATATATTGTTAATATTAATTGTTAACTTGCCAAATAGGGGCATAATTTGCGTTCTATTGTATTGCCTTCGCCTATTGACATATATGAAGCCGACATTTTTTTTGTTTTTAACCCATGAAGGGTCAAACATGAAATGGTCAAATCAAAAACTAGCGGGTTATTGAAATGAAATCGACGTGTTCTTATTTGATTTTAACATTCTTAGGTTTTTCAATCTAAGCCCCTGTTTGATGTTCATTACCTGAAAATAAAAATGAGAATGAAAAATTTTGATTTACGTATAATATTATTTTATGAAAAATTGTGTGATTGAAAATAAAAGAGAGAAAAATAAATTGTAATGTAATTTAATTTAATGGGATCAAACAGGGGCTAAATTTATAGCCGGGCCTATTTAAAAATTGATTCTCGAATTTTCCGCCTAAATATCTTAGTTTGATCTAACACCTGTACTAATTCGAATTTGACTTAATTTATTTTTCAAGTAGACGTTGAAATAATGTGAAGTTTGAATATCTCCACAAATCTACAATATGTCCAAAAAGTCGTGCACTTGGCAAGCTGGAGTGGATAAACACAATCATGAACTAAACGCGCTAATGCTTAGTCATTTGACAAATTCCATATTCTCTATTGGCTTCATGTTTTCTCACTTATTTTATGTCAAGAAATATCCTGATATGAGTTGAAAGCGACGATTATTGAAGCAATCATGGTGTATTTCATACGTTGGACTTAAAACAATATACCTGAATAGTTGTGATGCATTCCCGATGTTTTATCTAGTATCTTGAATGTGACTAAATATTAGTGGATGGTACCATGACATGTTTAATATGTTAAATTAAATTGAATTGAATGAAATAACAAAATATAACTAATTGTAATATTTGTTTTGAATCATAATTGTCCTTGTGACATCCTTAATAAGATGGATTTGATAAAACGATATTATATATTGAACTATCTGATCATTTTCGTTAGTGGATACGATACTGATCATACGCTTGTTGGACTAGAACTTCAATCCCTATTCATTTATGAAGAAAAGTAGAAAACCCAAAATAAAATGTGATATGATTTCGTTTGGCACGGTTTTTGTTTTTGCTTCTTTTAAAAGAGTCTTATAAAAATGTTATTTTAAACCACTTTTCTTTAAAAACTTTTCTAATCTAACAAAGAACTTCTAAAAAATTATCCAAATACGTTCGAAAACTTCTTAATCTCAAAAGCGGACTTTTCAAAAGTTCTGCCATATTCAGGCCCTAAATGCATTGAGTTGAATCAGAAAATCTGGAAGCTTCAAATTTAAACTAAAGAACTACTCTCCTAATTGCATTATTTCAGCCATTCAATTGGTAGTCAGTTTCCACCTAACCTTTTTCAGCATTAATAAATGGCAAAAAAAAGTAAAGTAAAGAACAAAAAATTTGATAGAACAAGTTGAAGGAGCAGTTACTAATATTTAAGCAATGAAACTGGAAGAAAGTAGTTAGGCCACAGTAGGCTCACAACCAATATGATTGTTCTGAAAAAAATTAAAGAACTCTTTTATCAGTTTGACAGTGTTATTCATTTCTATGTATAAGGCACTTCTTGAAGAAAAATGTGAACCTCAAGCAGTACCAAAATTTACAAAATCTTGAAAAAATCATCATATTTCAAGAAAATGGAGGAAAAAACTAGGTGTGATCAACATTTACAATCCCCACAAACTGATACTAACATAGAACAGTTTCTATCTAGATTTGCAACCTAATTTGTATCAAAAGAAAAGTTAAAAAACAAAAAAATTACTTAACATACCTGTATAACTTTTTATTTTCTATTTTTTCTACCTTTATCTGTTATTCTAATTCTAGTTACACCGATGAACGCCATATCCTTCCTTCGAAAGAAATAATGATAATTGAGACATCATCGTGGTACTTTCGACGGTCTCCTTGTGGGATATCAAGCAATGTATGAAAATCCATACCAGCTTTCTTTGCAGCTCGAAAAAGTACTTCTTCAACAAGATGTTGAGCTGGATCGCCTTCAGGAAACGTAGACATGAACATTTCTACCTCAGAAACAGCCTCTTCATTTGTGAAGTACTGATAGAGGCCATCTGAAGACAAGATCAAAAATTTGTCATTCGGGCTGAGTGTGTGGTGACAAAGCGATGGGGAACAAGAAATATAGGGAGAATTTCCAACGTAGTCGATTCTGAACATCTCCAGGAGAGCATTGTTCCATTTGGGCTGTAAAAGTAAGGTAGACGAACATTAACAATCTTAACAAATGAGTATGAAAGCAAAAATACAAGGAGAAAAACATAGAATATGAATCCTGAACTTCGAAAATAAGCTTAGAAACAATTGTACCTGTTTGAGGAAGCCGGCACCGAAAGCCCGAGTGACCTTCAATGAACCTTTCACTCTTTCATTGAATACCGCCAAGGGATCATCTGGATGCTCAGTTCGAATCCTTCTAACTTCCTGGGACATAAAACATATAAGAAAATTTAGTACATGAACACTGAACAGAGGACGTAAAAACCAGACAATCATCCTCAAATAAGAGGGAAGAAATATGTTTATTACCTCTCTAACAGATGTACTGTGATCCATTGTGAGCTGACATGAACTCAAGTTATGCATATTCTCAAATTCATCACCATAAAGCATTTCATCTAAATCCTTCCTCATCTTCCCATCGTTCTCAGCCTTTTTCGCTAAAACTGCTCGACTATCCCCAACATTCATCAAGTAAACATCATCATCCTTCATCACCATAACCAGAACACAAGATCCCATTAAGGCTAATTCGGGATTCTCCATTAGCATCATATCGGCGATTTCTAAATACGATGCCTCAGTCTTCCTCAATGCTTCGGACAGAGCTTTCAACACACCTAAATGGTTAATAGTAGTATTTCCTTGAACCACATCAGCCTCCAAATGACTCAATTTCTCCCTTAACTTTCTATCCAACTCCACCCTTTCCTTACTATCCAAACTCTTGGACATAAACGACTGACTATCGAGGGTGTTTTCGCACGATTCTGACTTGTCGAACCATAATAATCCAGTAAGCTCCTTGTAAACATTGGAATAAAGATTGTTTAACAAGAAATCAGTGGCATCAGGTCCACTAAAACCATCATAAATCCCAACAAAAACACATCCATGTTCCTCAGAAATCACAATATGAACTCTATCTTCACCGGCCTTTCCCGCTAACTGACAATCTGCATTAATCATCCGTTTCTGAGGACACTCCGACACCCGATGAAGTCCTTCACATAAAAGCACTTCAATTTGGAAGTGGCATCAGTTCGGCCCTCCGTTGCTTTTCCTTTGTTCTAGTTGTTACTGTTGCTGCCGTTAAAATTTCCTTGACGGCCATTATGATAGTTTTCCTGAAAGTCACGGGTGCTTTAATAGGCTCCTTCTCTATTCTGAGAGTAACACTCTCTCCCATTTGGGTTTGAGCTGGGTCCGTAAGATCTGTCACCACCTTCAATTGCTTGATTATTCCCTGAAGGTCGATCTTTTCTAGATTCTGTTTGGTAGTCGCTCAAGCATTCAGTGGCTCCCATGCCCGTGCTCAAATCAGTAACCTTCTGTCTTTAAAGTTTCGTGCATGTCCACGGTTTCAACCCTTCCATAAAGGTGAAGAGCTTATCCTTTTCAGACATATCTTGAATATTCAGCATATGCCGTGAGAAGGATTTCACATACTCCCTGATAGAGCTCGTGTGTTTCAGGTCTCGAAGTGCCCGTCGAGCCTAATACTCGACATTTTTCGGGAAAAGCTGCGATCTGATCGCTTCCTTGAAGAGATCCCAAGAATCAATTCGAATCCTGTGGGCCTGAATGTTAGCATATTTGGTTCGCCACCATAGTTTTGCATCTCCATCTAGATACATGGTAGCTGTGGTTACCTTTCTAGATTCGTCTTCGATCGAAGCTGCTAGAAAGTATTGTTCCATATCAAACAATAAGTTTTCGACTTCTTTTGCATCACGAGCCCCTCCGTAGGTACACGGTTCAGAAATTCTGAGTCTAGGAGCATACTTGGGTACGGGAGTTTGCCCATTGCCCACCGCACGTTGGAGTACCCGCAATTGAGCTCTCAACGCTTTCATTTCATCCTGCAGATCAGAAATGATTGCAGCAGCTTCAGTCATTATCAAACAATAAGTTTTCGACTTCTTTTGCATCACGTGCCCCTCCGTAGGTACACGGTTCAGAAATTCTGAGTCTAGGAGCATACTTGGGTACGGGAGTTTGCCCATTGCCCACTGCACGTTGGAGTACCCGCAATTGAGCTCTCAACGCTTTCATTTCATCCTGCAGATCAGAAATGATTGCAGCAGCTTCAGTCATTGCTGCCCAAGCTCTTTGGCTTTCATCCAATTGGATGTGTAATCCACGAATCTCAGATTCGGCCATCTCGACTTTTTCCTTGAGATCTTCCAAAGCATAGCACAACCTAGTAGTTGTCTCATCAAGCGCATCCACGCGCCATTTCGTAGTACCCTTCTTTTGAGGCTCTACCACTTCAGTGGTGTGGGATGTAATTGGATCCATAGCTTTCTTATCAAGGGTCGTGAGCCATGGCTCTGATACCAACTTTCACGGGGTGCCTTTCTTCTTGGCACAGAAAGGGACACCGTGCAGCAGTAGTCTGCTCCACTAGACTACCTTCCGCCTTTTCTCGGTCGCGTCAGGACGAAAGAAAATTTGATTACAATTTTATAGAAAGCTTACAATAGAGAATTTGAATACATTGAAAGTAAATTGAACATTGATTGATGAAAACTGAACATTACAATTGATGAAAGCAGAAAATTACAATTGTTGGTGCAGGGGGCGGACACCAGTGAGTTTGAAAGATTTTTGAATGACTAATACCCCCTATAATAGCATTCTGAACAAAAACCTAAGTGATAGGAGTAGACGTTTAAAAGACGAGGAATCATACTAAACGTTTACCAATATCAGAGCTATTTTACAACTGAAATAACTAATACAATGAAAAGAAAATTACAACTCAAACTTGAAGTAATATTTACAATGTGCGGTCGAAGTTGGGCAAACTGCGTCTGCGATAGTCTCAAGGGGCTAAGTAAAGCTACGATCCTTGACACAATGTCATCAAATTCTAGAACTTCATGCACAGATGAGTGGATTACAGCTGCAAATACATCCGTTCTCGTCGAGAAGCAAATATTCTTTAGCAAGAAACAGTTGTACTCAAAGCTTCGTGTACTTA